ATAGCTGATCCTTTTACAAAGGGTCTATGCAAGAGAATGGTGATTGAATCATCAACAGTAATGGGTTTGAAACCTTGTGTTGAACGGATGTGAGCTTTGTAAGTATTGATTAAACATTTTAATGTTTTATGTTATGAATAAATCCTGCATGTTTTGCTGAATATTGTCTGAATGAGAAATATTAGCTAGATTTATTTGCTTATTGTTTATACTTACATTTAATTGAATCTAATGACTCTTTTTGAGTGGTTGTTAACCAGGTAGATTCAAGGAAACAGGATAAGTTTAGCTCTTAATACCTTTATCCCGGTAATCAAGAGTGAGGAGTGATGGTGGTCTTAAGTGAGACTGCTTGAGTAGGGAATGTGAGAGGTACCGAAGAGAAGAGGTTGTGTTTAGCCCTTAATGCTACACCTAGTCCATGGCTCGTTGAGCATGATAGGTGCATCGAAATTGTTGAAAGAGGATGAACTTAATTGTTCTTAATGTTGAAACTCCGATGCATGAATAGTCCTTGAATTTGCAAAGTATTGTGAGTTTTACATATTTGCATGAATAGTTCTTGGATTTGCAGGAGTGTGTGGAGTAGTTCACACGGCAACACCTACGTGAGTACGAAGAGTGGCGCTCTTCTAGGGAGAACAAGTATGGTTCTCTTGAAGTACTCATTAGTTCCCAAGAGTAGCCAAATTTGCGGAGTTGCTTAAGCTCTAAAGTCAAGATATGTGTTTACAAGGTCCCTTCCTCGCTCCTAGCTAGGAGTTCAAATCTTAGGATACTCACTAGGGAAGTGTTGAAAACCTTGTGCACTAATGTGTTAGTTCAAATCTTCGGATACTAGCATTTAAGTACTGAGACTTTCATTTATTGTTCAGATTTCATGTCGTTGATACGCTTGCATTAGTGGGGGATTATTGGAAATGGTAATGCAATCGGAAGATTCGCAAAGCTATTACGATCCACACTCCTGAGGGAATAAACAACGCCTCGAAGGAGTACTTGCGCCCGACCGGGCGAAGTTGGCTGCAGGAAAGGAGGGCTCTCGGCGGAACTTAGTTTTGATGAGCCCGGCAGGGCAACGCTCGCTCCGTTGCACGCCCGGATCGAGAGAGTTAGATCACCCGATCGGGCGGTTGTGGCCCGACCGGGCGCGACTCCTGGTCTGGGCAATCTTCTATCGCGCCGGACCAGGCGGCCGGTTGCCCGATCGAGCCTTCCTATTTCTTGGGTCTGCTTTGTTTATTTGTTTCCCTTTTTTGGGACACTTATAAATACGAGTATTGCCTTCTACTTTAATTATTCATTCATACGAAATTAAAAACACAAATCTACCCTTTGAGATCTGAACAGTTTTAGAGCAATTCTAACCTTCGAGTTCGGGTACACGAATTGCGGAGGTCGTTGTGTAAAACTTGGGGAGCATGCGTCACTGGAGATCTGTACTGGTGGTGGCGTATTTCTCTTCTAAGGCAGTGGGTTCCAAACAGAAGGAGGTCGGATCTTGATCGATTGTATTGCTTGTCTTTGTTCTTGATTTCAACAGGTATTTTTCCAACAACTACTTCAGGCGACGCAATTGTAAATTCGTGAACGACTTGTTTATTAATCAAGCCAAGTTCATGTATTAAAGTTCATGAATAATGTTTTATTTTTAAACAAGTATTCCGATCAACTTTTTATGACAATCTTAAAATCAAGCACAATGATTAAATCTAAATATAAATTTTAGCATCTTATTCGATTAACCAACTAATTGAAATTATAAATTGATCGAATAGGTAAATCTTGCACATTTAGCCGAATAGGATTTGAACTTTTCATACAAATTAAATGAACTTGTTCCTGATCTTCTATGAGCGAGTATAATATTCATGCTCAAGCTCGAATATTTAACAAGCTTAAGATATTGTTCAAACCCGACTCATTACAAAATGAACAAACATAAACCATCTTTACCAAAGCTAAAATCCGAGTAGTTTATTGAGACTCTCGGCTCACTTAAATTCCCTAATTATAGATCATAGAATAATTGGTGTACCCTCTACGTACCTCTTAGTTAATGTAGGGGCGTGTAATAGACAATTTTTTTTAGCGGTAGGAGTGGTAGAAATTGTGATGTGAAAACTTATCTTAATTATACATTCTCATTGTTTGGTGTTCAGTTGAATAACGTGGATGCTTAGTGCAAGAGTGTCAATTATACAAGAATTTACTTAATTCTTAATTATTGCATGTATAGACATGCATCATCCCTTAAAAAATGATTTAATTTTTCCTATTAACATATACTATCATTACTTTATTCTCTCATCAACAATACGTGAGTCCATTACTCTAAAACCATATAATCGTATTATGTACGCCATATGTATCTACTCCGTAGTACGAGTAATCTAGAACATATACTACGAGTAATGATTTAGCCTCCTAACTCAAACGAACACCAAACTTAGCTTATAATTTCACGAGTCAATTATCAAGGTGCGTAGGAAGGAATAATTTCATGAAAAGGGACGAAAGTGATAGTGTTGCCAACTACTAGTCTACTAATAAAATGATCACATATATATGCAGGACAATCAATAATATAATGAATACTTGAATGATGTACCATAGTACAAATCAAAGAGTATGAAAGTTACTTTATTTGAATAATAATAATAATTCCAGCAAATTGAAGGCCAAATTCAAGGACAATAACCGGACACTCGTAGCACGGCTGAAACATATGCATGCTAAAAAGCCATGTTTTAGAAAAGTAGGAGTGTAACATGTAAGTCTGTTTGAAAGCAAAGCTAGACAAAATTGTTTGGTAGCCAGCTAATAATAAGCTAAAGGTAACAACAACCACCAAAAGGAAAAAAAAGTTAAGTCATTTTTTTTTATCTTGTAGAGTTGTAGCATTTTAACTTTACTATGCACTAGCTAACTTGTATTGCTACTCAAGCTTGACACGAGCTTCACCATGCAAATGTACTACATTGTTGCCAGCTGCATTTCCTTTAATTTTGTCATGTTTTCAAAGTGCATAAAAATATTCCATTAAAATAAATTTCAGTTTATTTATTTTATTTTATGAAATGGAAAATGTACAAAAGTGAGGACTAGTAGATGTAAAATAATGGGTTTAGGGAATATTATTTACTAAGCTAGCTTTTGGCTATTAAGATTTGTCTTGATTGACTAATGAAATCATGGCGTAATGATTAAACTGGTGACTTATGTATGTTAGGTCACATAATACGTACTACATAATTACGTATTGTTTTGTGAAATTAGGCTAGATTAAAAAATAACAATAAATGTTTTGAAACATTTTAAATCATAAATTTAACAAATAAAATATAAAGGAGGGAGTATTTTTTCACAAAACTTGAAATGTAATATTAGTGAATAGAAGAAATATGTCCCTAAACTTTACTCAAATTTGGAGCTATGTGACTTATGTCCCTCTTCCAATGGAGTTGATAATGATCTATGATTTCCATTAGAATGAAGGGTGAATATCAACTTTTGGGAAAGTAGTGGGACCCAACACTAACTTTTGACAAAGTTTCGAGACTGATTGTGGTTTAAAACTCCTAGTACATTCATCCTTGCTGCCTACACATTATAGTGAACCCGTAGCAGTCCAGACTTGACTCACGTGTTCACTCATTCACAAAGCCCATTTGCCCATTTTAACTTTTTTGGCTGTCCATGTGCTACGAACAAGGCCCAAGAATAACTCACTCAGTTGCAATTTTCATAAAAAATATATCATCTCCGTTAATTATTATTTATTATGAGTAACTTTAGTATATTTTGTTTAAAAAGCTATTTATTCTTGAATAATAATTTCATCCAGTGATATTTATGTAAAATTTCCCTATTAACTAAAGTTGTAACTCATTTTTTTTATGCACAATAATTTAAAGGAGGGTCGTAGGGGTTCTTTGAAAATTGGATATTCATTTCGCTCATCCTCATGCCCGTTATTTTCTTAAACCTCACAAGCATGTGCAAAATTTTATATAAACCTGGTTGCACCTTACTCAAGGTATTTTTTTTTGCTCATTTTTAATGAGCAAGAAATATACCAAATGAGCAAATTACCACCCTTGGTGCACCTATTTCTATGTGCAATCAGGTGTATATAAAAGGTTGTAATTGTCAAAATAGAACCAAATAAGGCCTTGTCACTTACACTTCCTTTTCTCATAATCAACCTAATATCATCATCATACCCTTTTCCCTCCTTAAGATCACAATCATCATCATAGCAAGCCATAGAATCTACAAGTTTATGGTTCAAGGATGCCAATTGAACCTATAACTCACCACCCCTCTTTATTATCTCTTTAAGGGACAATTCATTCTACTAGTAGTTTCCATTTGGGTTTTCATAACTTCTAGCATTCTTAAGGCGCGGTACTTTAAGAACTCGAATGTTCTTGAGGCTCTAAGGGGATACGACCCAAGTTACACTTGGAGAAGTATGTGGGGGGGCAAAAGGGCTACTTCGAGATGGCCTTGCGCGGAGAATTGGTGATGGTGGCTGTGTTCGGGTGTGGAAAGACCCTTGGGTCTTAATAGATGGTCGGCCTGCTGTGCTTCATATCCCGGAGGGGGCTGATGAGAACATGCTGGTTCGAGAGCTAACGTATGGTGGCTGTATGGCGTGGGATGCGGATAAGGTTTGCTCGGTTATGGGAAATGAGGTGGGGACTAATGTATTAGCTATTCCTCTACCTTGTATGAGACAAGCTGATGGTGTTTATTGGTGGCAAAGCAATGATGGGATATATTCTGTACGCTCTGGCTATTGGCTGGCAAAAGGTGGGGTAGGTAGTGAGCTTGCTGGTTTACCTGATGGTGCATGACTATCAATCATATGCTGTAAATGTGTTTCATCGTATTGCTGCGGTGATGGCGCCTAGTAGCAGGTCTAATTGGAGTTGTCCTGGCCTCCAATTAATGTCCTTAAAATTAATGTCGATGCTCATGTCCCGAATAATGGTATGGCTGGTCTTGGGGTGGTCTGTAGGAATGCTGAGGGAGGGATTGTCGCAACAGCTACCAAGAAGGTTAGTTTATCTTCGCCAGAGATAGTGGAAGCTATGGCCATTCGTTTTGCAATGCAGCTAGCTCTCAGGTTGGGTTTTGGAAGAGTGATGATAGAATCTGACGCCATCAATGTGATAAAAGCTGTGACTTCGAGAGAGTGTGGCCTTTCACCTATTTACTCCATCTATGATGATATTAGTTTTGATAGAGCTAAGTTTGATTTTTGTAATTTTTTGCATATTAAACGTTCTTGTAATACGGTGGCTCATCTTGTAGCAAGAGGGGACACGGGGGTTAATATGAAAGTTGTACGGCTGTGCTCCTTTCCCCAAAGCCTACAAACTTTGGCGGAAATGGACATGAATTAATTTAATGAATAAAGCTCTATCTTCCTTTAAAAAAAAAACCTCTAAACTAGAATACATGTCAAGACCTTTAATCGATTTTCGTAAAAGAGTGTCTAGTCTAACAATAGCAGTCGAGTCTTGGGGAACAGATTCAATTAAAGGTATATATGAGAGGTCGTAGTCACAATGGGAATAGCCCATTCATTCAAATAGGTTAGATCCACAAAAAAGAAAAAAAATTGGGCTCACAATAAGGATTATTGAAGCATACATTGTTATCATATTGAGGATACATAGCTTGATAGTACAATTAAAACTTTAAAAGCATTAAATATTTATAATCCCCTTGATTCTCAATTGTATCCATATCAGCCCGTGACTCAATACAATTCACAATTCAAAACTGGAAGAAGGAACATTTGAGATAAAAATCGGATAAATTCAAGTTCATTTATGAGATACACAATAATTTATTTATCAAATTGCCATGAGATAAACAATTTTAGTTTATTTCAGTGATTAACCTAGACTTCCTGGTAAAATCTAAAGTAAAAATAAACAAAGTGGCCTAGACTCACCTAATTAACACATAATCAATGTTAGACGAAGTCCCCAGCACCGGAACCATTTGATATACGATATATTGGTCGTTGGGCAAGCTAAGATTTAGCTTTCAATAACTAACCTACACTATCAAAGGCAGCATTCAATCGGCAAGTACATGATTGAATAATCAACAAGGAATGACTTTACTAGACACTGAGATACAAACTATAATAAGATAACTCAATCGGAGTAAGAAATTTGGAGGAAATGTATTACTAAATTAAAGCTACATATGAATCTAGGGTCAACAAATCAACAATTACAGAAGTACTCGTATAAAGGGATGTAAAAACAAAGGGAAAGCGCTAGGGATGACGACATACGAAAAGGGGCGTAAATATAGTCATTCAAGCAAGTACTCAATTCATGTCCTCTCTCGAGGGTGCACAAGCAAGAACTAAGCTAGGCACTTAGAAGAATAAACCAATCAAACTATATACATGTTATACGTAGTACTTTTCTCTCCCACAGTCCCACTAATTCCACTTTCGTTACGTTTATATTAGCTCTCTCTCACAATCAACTAAATATAATTCCATCGACCCATTAACTATGCTTTATATTATAAAATCCTCACTTTGGTAGCGACCTTATGTTTTTTTCTTAGATTACACCAAAACTAATGTTGCGATGGATCCGAAATGAAGTGAGTATTACCTAAAAGCATGTACCATTGTAGCTGTAGAGACTATAGTTCAAATGTTTTCCTTAACCTGGGAATTCTTAGATAATCTATTCACGTCTGACTGGGTTGGCCTTTTTGGAGAGGCCCAAATGCAATGGATTATTTAACAAGAAGTTCAATGCGAAAATTGTAATAATAAGAACATGTTACTTGGGGCCTTTTGGGCTAAATAAGCAATAAAATAAAGCAAGGCACACATTGTAACAAGATAAAGTCCATACAGTAGCAGTGTTAAAATTTGAAGATTCCTTCTTGCAATAATACTTGCCTAAAGTTGTACACTTACATAATACATTCCTTATTTTACTCCTGAACAAAGTGGGTTGAGTGAGATATAAATTTTAAAAAACAAACGAAAATGCACGGGTTGCAAGTATACGTGAGTGGATGAAATTAGTACTAATTTGAGCTTATTTGGCTTTACAATAAATCTATATAACAAAACATAGCAGACATCAGCCAATACATCTGTTTGGGTCCAATATAGCCTAATTGGGCAGGCCCACAAATGATCAAATAATCTCTAAGGTTCAACTCTCCAAATAGCATGCCAGAAGTCAAAGTAAAGCGACCCAATCCACGTGGCAAGCCCACATGACTAAAGAGCCCATTATCCATATCTTATGTAAGGTATAAAAGCATTAACACTTCTAACCTTCATGGTATCCACATTAAGCCTCAAGCATTTATTCCTCTTGCATAGTATTCTCTCTCTAGAAAACACTGTACTAACTTCGGCATCGAAGGGGCCTTCCATAACACCACCTCTGAGACCAGTTTACGTGTGTTCACTGTGTAGGAAACCCTTGTCCCAGTCATCATTTGGGCCGAGTCCAGTCTTCATCCCACTTTAAAGGTCCATCTAAAGGACCCATTATTTTTACCCAAAACATTTGGCGCTATCTGTGGGGAAGACAATAAAAAACAAGCTAAAAATCCAATCACTTAGCAACATGGCTAAGAATTCGAAGAAAAATACTCCTTTTTCCTCGTCGTCCAAGGCGACCTCATTTGAGAGAGCCTTGCTCAAGCGCCCTTCGCGCAATACCGGCGAGCCGTCAGGCTCCCGTCGGGCAACATACTCAAACGCTAGGGCACCAACCCCTAGCCACCATTCGCGATCTCGACCGATGGGGAAACCCCCGATGGATCCCTCATTGGAAGAGGTGGCGAAGGCCATCGCAATCTTTATGGAGTTTTTGCAGGCCAACAAGCCAACTCCACCTCTTGACTCCTCTACACGCACTAACACAATAGAGCAGCCGCGTAGGTTGAGAAGGAGGACCAGCCTTGAGGACGGAGAGCAGGTTCCGTCCCACAAAGAGCTCGGAGAGCACTGGGAGGAGGGTGCCTGAAAACTGACCGGGAAAGAAAAAGAAACCTCCAGTTCTTTGAGGAACCCGAAGCCCGGTCTTTTAAAAGCAGCAACACCGTGTCCTCGCTACCCGAAACCGTTCGCCAAAACGTCCACGAACGCATCGGCTCGAGGGAGGTGATCATCCACAACCGCCTAACATACCCTCACGAAAGTCAACCTGCGCCCACTCACTCCAAGCCGAGGAAAAAATTGATTTCCACCTCCGGGGGGGGGGGGGAGGGGACGAGGTCCCAATGGCCCGAACCAAAGGGAAGGCAGTGATGACACCTTCCAGGTCTCCATTTGTCTCATGGATTCTAGAAGAGCAAGTACTATCAGTGAAAATCCCAGCACACATTACGTATGATGGGACTTCGGATCTGAAAGAGCATATAGCCTTTTACGAGGGGCACATGTACTCAAACCCCAAATCTGAAGCAACCTGGTGCAAGTACTTCCCTACGACTCTAAAAGGTGTCACGCAGGCGTGGATCACCAAAGGGATAGAGGAAGGATCAATCACTGGATGGGAAGACCTTTCCCAGAAGTTCAAAAGCAAATTCTCAATGGCAAACCGCCGAGAGAAAACTACTGCTGAGCTTATGAGCCTGCGGTAGGGAGAAGAAGAAAGTCTTAGGGACTACCTGACTCAGTTTAGCAACGAATCCTCCAGAATCACAAATTTGAACCAAGGGTTGGCCGTTTTTGCGTTGCAAAACGGATTGAGCACGGGAAAGTTCCTTGATTTCATGGTCATGCACACCCGCAGACCTTGGAAGAAGCCCTCGATGCTTCGGATAAGTTTATCTGAGCTGAGGAATGGAATAAAATCAAGTCCCAACCTGGGACTAGTAAGGCAAAGGGATATCAATCCAAAGGCTAGGGCCATCAGAAAGGGAAAGTGAAAGCCTCAGAACCTTCTTCAGCTCCTGAGACCAAGAAGGAGAAAACCCCATTCTCGGGGAAATATGAATCATACACTCCTCTCGCTCTTCCATGTCCTAAAATTTATAGCATAACGAACAACGATGAGAAGTGGAAGTAGCCAAGGGCACCACCCTCGTGGCACCAGAATAGAAACAAAGACAAATGGTGTGAATTCCATGATGCTCATGGACACAACACCGAAGAGTGTATCCAACTGAAGGATCAGATTGAAGATCTTGTTAGAAAAGGATACCTGGAAAAATACCTCGCAAACTACCGCGAGGAAAAGAAAACCGAGCAAGATTCTCGACTACAACTTGATTACAACTGAAATAAAGACAAGACGCAGAATAAAGAGCATCCTAACATCCTTGTCATCTCTGGAGGGACAAGCTCCCGAAATGCTCGCAAGCGTCACCTGAGGAGTCTAACTCACCAGGTCAACTATGCCTCGGTTCGAGGCCCAAAATCTTTAGTTCTGAACATCACATTCTTAGCCGAAGACTGCGGGGGGGGGGGGGGGGGGGGGGGGGTAGCATACCCCCATGACGACCTATTGGTCATCATAACAGGGATCGCCAACCATAACGTCTAGCGAACTCTAGTTGACGGTGGTAGTGCAGCGAACATTCTATTTTAGGATGCCTTCGAGCGCCTCAAGCTTCAGACCAAGGACTTGAGTCCAGTTCCCTACTCAGTCACTGGATTCAACGATTCTTCGCCCTGCCTCGATGGGAAAATTACTCTTCCTGTTACCATCGGCACGGATAGGGCAGCAAGGAACATCGTGGCCGAATTTTTGGTCATCGATGTTTCATCGGTCTATAATGTAATCATGGGAAGGCCCATAATCCATCAGATCCAAGGGGTCGTCTCCACGTATCATCAGTTAATGATATACATTTCGGATAAAGGTTTCGCTGAACGAATCCGAGGGAGTCAAGAGGCTGCCCGAAAATGCAACTACAACTCCGTCAAGTCTTCAAAGGACAATCATGAGGACGAAAACGGAGACAAGAAGGAAAACCAAAAGGAATGAAACACGAAAAAGGTGAAATGCTTGAGTGCTTCGGCTCAGGGTACCCCGCCCAGAGAAAAAGCAACAAGGAAAAAAAAGGCTTGCTCATCTTTTGAAGTAGCGGACTCAGGGTATCCACAAGAAGGCCGACCGAAGTCAGGAAAACCTATTGACATCGACAGCAGGCCTGACAATTAAGAGTCCGGTTCTAAAGCAATTGAACTGGACCATCAGACCGAATCAATCGAGTTAACCGAAGGAGACCCAGAAAAATTAATAAGCATTGGGCTCGGACTTGGTCCAAGTATCCGAGTCGAGCTTATCCAGCTCGTTCGAAACAACTGAGATGTGTTCGCTTTCTCAGCTGTTGACATGCCTTAGATTGATCCGAACCTCATATCTCACAAGCTAAATGTCGACCCAAGTTGTCGGACAGTTAAGCAAAAGAAGCGAAATTACTCTACCAATAAGAACCATGATATCGCAGCCGAAGTCAAGAAACTTCTAGATGCGGGCTTCATTGAACCTTGCATGTATTCGGAATGGTTGGCTAATGTGGTGATGGTTTAGAAGGCCAATGGTTCCTGGAGAATGTGCGTTGACTTCACAGACCTGAATGATTTATATCCCTTTCCGAGGATCGATCAGTTAGTTGACTTGACAAGTGGTCATGCTCTGCTTAGTTTCAGCATGCATTCTCATGGTATTATCAGATCTTCATACACCCCGACGACCGAGCAAAAATGGTATTTGTCACAAATGTCGGGGTGTTAATTCAATTACAAAATGACGCCTTTCTGGTTGAAAAACGCCGGGGCAACTTATTAGAGGCTGGTTGATCATGTCTTCGCCAAACAAAAAGGGCGTAACATGGAAGTCTATGTTAACGATTCCATCTTCAAGATCAAGAATGACACGGACCATGTTACAGATCTAACCACCCTAAGAAAGCATCAAATGAAACTGAATTCGAAGAAGTGTGTCTTCGGCGTGAAATCAGGCAAGTTCCTCGACTTCATGGTCATTAAGAGGGGAATTGACGCCAATCCCGCCAAAGTTCAAGCAGCACTAGACCTTCCCGAGCCAAAGACAAAAAGGGATGTTTAGAGACTAACCGGGAGAATGGCTGCCCTGTCCAAGTTCATCTCTAGAGCTTCGGACAAAGGGTTACCCTTCTTCAAGGCTCTTAAGCTGCCCAAAACCAAAGAGCTCATTTGGGAAGAAGAACAAAAAGAAGTCTTCAAGCAGCTCCGTGAGCATCTGGCTCAGCTCCCAACATTGGCTCGACCAGTCGAAAGGGAGACACTGTACTTATACGTGGTGGTCAGCCCAGCCACGGTAAGCACGGTTTTGCTAAAGGAAGAAAATAAAGTTCAGAAAACGATCTATTTTGTCAGCCACACTCTGATAGATGCCAAGACCCGCTACCCTTTTCTCGAAAAAATTATACGCAGTGGTGGTAGCTGCTCGGAAGTTAAGATCCTACTTCGACTGCCATCAGATAGTGGTCTTAACTGATCAACCTCTGGAAAAAAGTTCTCAGCAACGTGGAAAAATCTGGCAGATTGATGAAGTGTGCTTTCAAGCTTACTGAGTTTAGCATAAGCTATCAACCGAGAACAACCATTAAGGCACAAGCTTTGGCGAATTTCTTGGCCGAATTCTCATACTAGGAAACGCTAGATGATGAAAAGAAAACCTAGACCGTTTTTACGGATGGATCTTCCACCGTAAATGGTTCGAAGGCGGGGGTAGTACTTACCTCGCTTGAAGGAAAGTCCTTTAAGTATGCACTCAAGTTCGCATTCAAAGCTTCAAACAACGAGATAGAATATGAGGTAGCAATCGCTTGCCTAAAGCTGTGCATATCACTGGAAGTCGAGCATGTCTGTCTCAAAACAGACTCTCAGCTTGTCGCAAATCAGATTCGAGGCGAGTTTGAGGTGAAAAAGACCTCGATGATCGCTTACCTCGCGAAATTAAAACGATAATTGCGAAACTGAGAACTTTTGAGGTCGAGTTGATTCCACGAGGTCAGAATGTCTAGACTGATGCACTCTCCAAACTTGCAAGTTCACCTCTGACCGAGCTGAATCGATCTGTTTATGTGGAGGTGCGCCGGGAAAGGAGTGTTGATGAAGCACCTGAAGTTTGCACCATCACACCAAAACCGAGCTGGATGGATCCCATCCTAGCATACAAACTTCGGGGAGAGTTGCTCGAAGACAGAAACTTAGCCTGCAAGCTGAAAAGAATTAGTTCTTGGCTCATCATGTTCAGAGAAGAGCTATTGAAGAAATCATTCTCAGCACTATTACTAAAATGCGCAGGACCAACAGATGGTGATTACATCCTTTTGGAAATCCACCTTGGCATCTGTGGAAACCATATCGGGGGAAGAACCTTGCCTCACAAAGCATTAAGAGTAGGGTACTATTGGCCAACCATGATCCTTGATGCAAAAGAGTTAGTGAAAAAGTGCGTGAAATGCCAAAAATTTGCACCGGTTATTAATTAACCAGAAAGGGACCTTCAGCCAATTCTGAACCCTCTCCCATTTGCTCAATGGGCTGGACATTTTGGGGCCATTCCCCGATGCTCCTTATCAAAAAATGTGGATGATAGTTACCATTGACTACTTCAGCAAATGGATTGAAGTCGAGGCAGCTTCGAAATCATGGAGTAGACTGTCAGAAAGTTCATCTGGCGAAACATCATCACTCGCATTGGAATTTCGAAGGTGTTTGTCTTCGATCACGGAAGGCAATTTGACAATTTGCCGCTGAGGCGGTACACTAATCAGATCGACATTAAGTTGGCTTACTCTATAGTCTTCCACCAGCAAGGTAATGGCCAGACTAAAGTTGCAAACAAGCATATCCTTAATGCATTCAAAAAGAGAGTGGAGGATCAAAAGTCCAAATGGATTGAGGAGCTCCCTGGTACTCTCTGGTCCTTTCGGACAACTGAAAAAGAAGCTACGAGACACTCACCCTTTGAGTTGATGTATTGGTCCAAAGCTGTACTCCCAGTAGAGATAGGCACCAAAAGCTTGCGAGTGCATAATTTTCAACCGGAGAAAACGAACAACTTCTGAAAGAATCTGTCGATTTTCTGGACGAAGTCAAAGACACGGCCCGAGATAGGATGGTAGCCTACAAGCAAAGAATTAGCAAATTCTAAAACCGAAGGGTCAATGAAAGACCACTCAAAGTAAGGGACTTGGTTCTTCAAAATGCCGCAGCAGTCCAAAATGGAAGAATTCATGGGAAACACTCTTGGCTACTTGGGAAGGGCCCTGTGAAGTCTATGATGAGCTTCAGCCTAGGACTTACCGACTTCGTCAGCTGGATGGAACTGAGCCAAAAAACCATTGGAATGCTGATGCACAAAAAAAGTTTCATGTGTAATCCCTTCGGAAAGGAACAATCTATGTAAGTAAACCTTTTGCAAATCAATGAAAAGGCCTCCGAGCCATTTTCTGATAATTCTGCAAAAAATTTATCTCTTTGTTTTATCTGTTTACAAGGAATTACCATCGGAACGATTCGAGGTATAGCCCATCGGCGACATTGTACTTCGGATCGCCGCTAATTACGCCCAACAAGGAACAATCGTTTCACAACCGAAGTATAGCCGGCCAACGACATTGTACTTCGAATAACTAGTTCGTTGAGGCAAAGGGCCCGTGAACGAATCTGAGGCATAGCAAACCACTGGCATTGTGCTTCAGAGGGTCACATCTGAAGTATAGCCAACATTGGCATTATGCTTCAGATAATCATTCCCCCGCAAATATTTTTAAGGTTGAGAGACTACTGTTCTTGGAGTCTACGATTTCTGAATAGCGAACTCATGAACTCTTCAAAAAAAAAAGAGAGCTAAGAATGACGCTAAGCAATGCAGATAAGGGGCTGAGGCTTAGTCCATTTGCAAGAAAGTTAGGAAAGTTCAAGCTAAAAATCCGCATTCCATAACTCTGAAATCCGAAGCCGGTATCTCATAACTTCAGTTTTCTAGGGGGAGGGGGAGAAGAGGTACGCCAACTAAATAGTCAAGTGCTACTTAGTTAAATTCAACAGATCAAGCAATAAATTTCCCAGCAAAAGTTCAACACGTACTTAGAAAATTTTGAAGAAAAAAGGAACTGCGAATTGTGCAAAACAACTACGAAAGAAAAACTGCATGCAAGTCAAGATTAGCCTGCAGCAAGTTAGCTTGGTTATCCAAGGTACAACAAACCAAGTTCAGAAAATACAAACGAGAACACATTCTAATCGGCAGCCGTCCACAAGACGGATAATAGCAGCTGCCGAACTATGCACAACTATGCAGAATTCAAAAGCAATTGAAAGGTTTGTACACAAGGCTAGCTGAAGCAAAAAGAGAGGAAAGGCAAAAACAGTTATGCGGCATATTCTAAGTGAAGCTCTGAGATGATCCGCAAGATTCTGTAGACGGCTGCCTAAATCCCTATGCTTCAGCATTTGTAGGATCCTGCTCAGGAGGAACACCATCTTAGCCTCCAATGGCTGCAACAGCTGAGGAAGATGCAAAATGCAGTAAGGGAACCACTTCCTTTTCTGCCTCCTCCTTCTCACCCTCTTCCTTAGCCTCAGCCTTGCCTTGGCGAGCCAAGTAATCCACCTCAGCCTGTCTAGGGTAGACCAAGTGTTCGTCCATACTATCCGATGCCCAGGCCTTCCACCTATTCCTAGTTTATGTTGGGATCGAGGTGAAACGCCAGTCGGTAAACCATGTCAAAGCCAAGGTCATACCTCACTTGGTAATTAGCCTCAATGAGAGTTCGGCATCGAAGGAGGGCCTTGGCGCCTTCCAGCATCCCTTTCATTCGACAGTAGGCATCCGCAAATCTACCCTTCGCTTCGATTGCCTCTTCTTCAGCGGTAGCAAAATTCTGCCGAAAATCTTCATTCTACATTAGCTAGTTCTCTTTCATCTGCTAAACCTGGGCTTTTGATTCAAGGACGACGACATTCTCGAAATTCAGCAAACGCCGA